CCCTTCCCATAGCTCATGGTAATCCTTACCCTTCCCATAGCTCATGGTAATCCTTACCCTTCCCATAGCTCATGGTAATCCTTACCCTACTAGTTTTTCCTGGAACACGACCTACCAATCTGTTAATAACCAGGTACCCAATTACTGCTGGGAAGATGGTCGAACAGTTTAGGTTTGGTGTGTAGTCAATTCTCCCCGACCAGGAGTCGAACCAACGGGGTGAGAACAGCTTGAGCTACCTCATCCCTTTGTGTTTATTTATACTTCAATAAACTTATTTGAACTGAGGACTCGAACCCTCGCAAAATCACTCGTTCTAAACTTCTGCTCCAGTATCTCTCGCTTGATTTTAAATCCAGTAGAAAAATATGCATGAAGCTCGTGTTGTAAAAAAGTGAAATTATATAAACAATTTGCCTCCTGTGACGCTATAGTGTCAGATTTCGTTTCCATGTAATTTATATTTGGATATACTTTAAGTTTATAGTTTTGTCTACTTTTTTACTGTTAATTTTTGTTATGGTATGTGGCACACACGACGAATATAGAGAGACTTAGAAGTGAACATATCTGGAGACTTAGCACCAGAGGCACACATCAGCAGAATAACGATGGGTAGCGAGAGCTTCGTTCTCACACACGTGGGGTCCACGGTTCGAATCTCCTACAGCCCAGGACAAAGATGCCTTCTGAGCGATGTATAAATCCTTTGTGAGACCTATTATTGAGTATGCTGTCCCAGCATTGAACCTCTACCTAAAGAAGCACAACACAATACTTGAAATAGTCCAAAATATGCAAAAAGGCTCGTCCCTGAGCCAAGGGGGTTGAGCTGTGAGGAAAGTTTAAGGTAACTGGACCTCATTTTACTGGAGGAAAGAAAGAATAAGACAGACTTGATAACGGCGTACAAGATACTAGGGGGATTGACAAAGTAGATAGAGAAGCAATGTATTAAGGAACGAGAGGATATTATTGGAAACTGGAAGCACATATGAGCCACAGGGAGGTCAAAAAGAACTTTTTTCGGTCTTAAGAGTCGTCAATAAGTGGAGCGGACTAGATGAGCAAGTTGTCGAAGCCGATTCGATACACACCTTTAAATGTAGATATGATAAGAAAAACGAGTGAGAAGAAGCACTATTGAACCAATGATAGTCGAAAGGCGGTGCTTAAGAACAGATGCTCGACCCAGCAAGGTCAACTAGGTGGGGGGGGGGGAGGGGATAGAAATAGCCTAAGCTACTTTACCCCTTTGAGATGTATTTTTTTATAAACTTACTTGAACTTGTATGCATTGAGGCGGCAGCTAAACTAGCCCGTCCTCTCCGTTATCACAACGTCACAAAAATGATGTTCTAAATTGCCCGAGCCTAACCTAAGCGATGGACCCACCAACAGAAAACAGAAGTCCGTCAATTTTGCGAGCTGCTATGATTTATAGTTCATCATATTTTGGCCGTTGGGGATATATAAATACGTAAAAAAATGCGATGTACTCTTCGAGAGGACGTTGTACTCTAATTTTTTTTTTTTTACAAAATCGTGCAATGCGTTAAAAAGGGGACGAATTAGTAAATGTGAAGTAAATGTTTATTGACGTTTTCTATGCACTGATATCAATAGGTTTAGTGGGTTGCTTGGGCTGGTACGTCTCTACTTAGGCAAAACAGTTGCACTTTTTCAGGTCCTGGAAAATTTATTATTTCTTGGAAACATTGTTTTTTGTATTTTTTGCATCATATGACTAAGTGAAAAAAGTAGTTAATTTAGTGTGGCATGAACCTGACTGTGTAATGTGTAATGTATTATCATAGAAGTGTGTGGGAGGGGCTCCGGAGATTAGGCTGTGTACCGGCTCTCGCGCTATCTTGCTCAACTCTTTCACTTTCAAATACTAGGATAGTTTAGTAAGAATTATACAAGTTTTAGGCCAATGAATAACAATGTCAGTTTAACGAAACAAGTTTGATGAGAAACTATTGTGTGTGTGTATATACTCACCTAGTTGTGCTTGCGGGGGTTCTATCAAATCTAGATTTGAAACTGTGTATGGAGTCTGCCTCCACCATATCACTGCGTAATGAATTCCATTTGTTATTATTCCATTCCATTCCATTCTATTCCATTCCATTCTATTCCATGTGTGTGTATTCACCTAGTTGTACTTGCGGGGGTTGAGCTCTGCTCTTTCGGACCGCCTCTCAACTGTTACTAACTGCTAACTAATTTTTTTTTCACACACACACACACACACACACACACACACACACACACACACACACACACACACACACACACACACACACACACACACACACACCAGGAAGTAGCCCGTAACAGTTGTTTAACTCCCAGGTACCTATTTACTGCTAGGTAACAGGGGCCTCAGGGTGAAAGAAACTGCCCATTTTGTTTCTGCCATCACCGGGGATCGAACCTAGGACCCTAGGATTAGGATTGTGTGCATGCATGCGTGCGTGCGTGTTTGAGTGTGCGTGCGTGTTTTCTTCTCACTAAGTTGTGATTGCGAGGGCTGAACGTAAGCTCTTGGAACACATCTCTCAACCTTCAATTTACAAGTGTATAAGTTTACAAGTTTATTTTATTTATTTACTACTACTGAAAGTAAAGACATTTTTACTAACATGTGGCTCATTCGGGTACTTAGTTTCCCTTTGTGTCCCCTTGTTCGTGCTCAACCCACTTAAGCACGAACAAGAGAAGACAAATCCAGCCTTGTCTCCCCCGTCACTTCCCCTGAGTATTTTGAATGTGGGTGATCATGTCTCCATAGTGACGTGAGGTATAGTTCCTTTAGAAGTTCCTTGTAATTCATGTCTCAACTCTGGTACTATACTCTTTTTTTACATACCTTTACATACCCTACAGCTTCATTTTTCATGTATTAAGATATGTATGTCATGCTGGCGATGCATATTCCAGAATGGGTCTGATATACGTGATATATAGAACTGAATTAACCCTTTTTCAAGTTTCTGAAGGAGTCCTGTAAATGTGTGTATGCCATCCTAGTAGTGTTTACCTAGTTGTGTGGAGGGAGAGCGAGATCTAGCATTAGAGGCCCGCCTCCTAGCTAGTGTGTGGGGTACATTTATACCACTGACGTTCCAGTACTATATTTCCCCCCTTGAAGCTTTAAACGCTGGTTGCTCCCACCACCCCTGGTTCAAGACCATTCCACGTGTTTACCGTGGGCAATCAGATCGCCAACGACTGTTTGATAGTATAAGAACCTACCTAACAAAACACGACAAGCCTAATAGCCTCTGCAACCCCAACTTGACCTAACCCAACCTAACTTAGCATAACATAATTCAGCCCAACCCATCATAATTCAATCTAGCCTAGCATACTTAACAATTAGATACTGAGGTATGTTCCAAACACCTCGGTATGATTTAACTGGACCCAGTTCTGTTACCAGCACCTAGTTTCTTTACTTTGCAATGTACTCATCTTGTTTTATTGTTGTGCTTGCGGGGGGTTGAGCTTCGACTCATTGGTCCCGCCTCTCAACTGTCAATGTACTGGTGTTCAGGTTCCTGAGCCTATTAAGCTCTTATCATATATACATTTGAAACTGTGTATGGAGTCAGTCTCCACCACATCTCTCTCTATTGTATTCCATTTATTAACTACTACGGCACTGAAAAAGTTCTTCCTAATGTCTCTGTGGCTCATTTGGGTATTCAACTTCCACCTGTGTCCCCTTGTGTTAAATACCCGAGTTAAATAATCCGTCCTTATATATCCTGTCAATTCCCCTGTGATTTTTGTATGTGATGATCATGTCTCCCCGAGCTCTTCTGTCTTCCAGCGAAGTGAGGAGCGATTCACGCAGCTTTTCCTCGTAACTCATGCCTCTTAGTTCAGGGACTAGTCTAGTGGCATACCTCTGAACTTTTTCCAACTTCTTCTTATGTTTGACAAGGTACGGGCTCCATACTGGGGCCGCATACTCCAGGATTGGCCTTACATATGTGGTGTACAAGGTTCTGAACGATTCCTTACACAGGTTCCTGAAGACTCTTCTGATGTTAGCCAGCCTCGCATACGCCACCGATGTTATTCTTGTTATGTAGGCTTCAGGAGACAGGTTTGGTGTGATATCAACTCCTAGATCTTTCTCTGTCATTGCATGAAGAACTTTTCCCATTCGGTATCTTTGTGTCTGGCCTGTTTCCACTGCCTAGTTTCATTACCTTATATTTACTCGGGTTGAATTTTAGTAGCCATTTATTGGACTATTCATTCAGATCATGTATGTGTGTGTGTGAAATTAACATTGGAATTACTACATAATATGTGACTGCAAATATAGTGAATGACAGTGTGATGGAAAAGGGAATACAGCATGGTAGCTCATGACAGGATGACCATGACAGGACGACCATGACAACAGTAGCACGACAAAACTGGCAGTGGGAAGGAGCAGGTGATAGAAGGATTGACTTCTGTTGGTCAAACACCAGTGGTAAAGATTAGTTAGGCTACTTATGGCCACGAGTGACAGACTGGCTTTGGGAACTAGTGAGAGAAGGACAGTAGTGATTATCGAAAGAATGATTTATGATGATATTTTAGAGAAACTCCAAAACAACTGTTGGTAGAATCGTTATATAAATTAGTGGTATACGGGAGCACATAGCAAAAATATATATCCTGTATAACAGAAGGCCTAACTGTGGTTACCTGCTGAGATCATTAACCAGTGTCTCTAATGACATTAGAATATAGGAAACTGCAGAAGGCCTATTGGCTCATCCAAGGCAGCTACAATTAATATCCACCCCAACTCATTCACATATATGCCTAGCCTACTAATACTGCTTCAAATCCTATCAGAACATATTAAACCAGGAGAGAAATATTTAATAATGAAGACAACTAGTGATGTTAACATAACTTTCTATCACCGCATGAAAGCCTATCTATATAAGCACGGGGGGAGGCCAAATAACACTTTGGCAACTTACTCATAGAATCCTGGCGCATGGCGGCCATGTTGGAGGTAGGGTGCGTCATACTGAACGGCTGTGCCATTCCGGGGTACGAACTTGACGACATCTGTAAATATGATCTTGGTTAGTGCCTAGTAACGTCTGTAAATATGGGCTTGATTAGTGACATTGTAAATATGGGCTTGGTTAGTAACGTCTGTAAATATGGGCTTGATTAGTGACATTGTAAATATGGGCTTGGTTAGTAACGTCTGTAAATATGGGCTTGATTAGTGACATTGTAAATATGGGCTTGGTTAGTGACGTCTGTAAATATGGGCTTGGTTAGTGGTTAATAAGGTCTGTAAATATTATTAGTATATTTTTGATTAAGGAAGGTTAGCAATGTGTGGTATGATGTTTGGTGGCTTCGTTGATGGTTGATTGCTAACTTAGTTGAGAGTTGGTTGCAAACTTAGTTGAGAGTTGCTAATTTAATAAATGCTTGGTGGTTAACTTAGTTTATGGTTGTGAACTGACATAGTTTATGGTTGGTGACTAACTTAGTTGATGGTTGGTGGCTAACTTAATAGATGGCTGGTGGCTAACTTGCTTTATGGTTGCGGCTTAGTTTATAGTTTGGTGGTTTAGTTAATGTTGGTGGCTAACCTAACTGATGGTTGATGGCTTAGCTGATGACTTAACTGATGGTTGATGGCTTAGCTGATGACTTAACTGATGGTTGATGGCTTAGCTGATGACTTAACTGATGGTTGATGGCTTAGCTGATGACTTAACTTATGGTTAATGGCTTAGCTGATGACTCAACTGATAGTTGGTAGCTAACATTGCTGATAATAAATGGCTAACCTAACTGATAGTAGATGGCTAACTTAGCTGATAAAACGTGGATTAGTCTGTTACTGATTAGTGCCTTAATATATTTTGTTTATTTATATACAATAAGATACAATGAGTAATTTGATTATAGAGACATTGGTGATTAAGTGGTATATTCTCAAGTAGTAACTTCAGTGATGTTCATATGTGTGTGGGTTAGGCTCGTTCAGAGTGTTCTCTGGTTACTAAACTGTGTAACAAGGAGGTGTTAACATGAAATAAATAAGCTTAGGACATGACATATTTATCATGCAGTTAAGAAATGTAGTACTTTAAGAATGTTTGTCTAGCACCCGAATGAACTAGCAAGACAGTTAAATAAAAGATAATAATAATAATAGATATCAAAGTGTTATTTAGATCAAACATGGTGTTTTTAAGAGGTTCCGAAAGACTAGATTTAATTAGTTCGTAGGTAGGTACAAAATCAAGGACACAGAAAAGCCTATGGTCTTCAACATTAATTTCCAACTGATCAGCTAATTTTAGCACATGGGTCTCAAAATCGATTCATCCAAGGTTCGATTCCGAGACAAGGCAAAATGTATGACACGTTTCAAAACTAATAATCCCTCTGCCTACCTAGCAGTAAATAGGTACCGGCGAGTTATACGGCTGTTGTGGGCCGCATCCTGGGAATGGGCGACTCGTGGACTTGGGGAAACCTGGGAAAGGGTGACTCGTGGGCTTGGGAAAACCTGGGAAAGGGCGACTCGTGGGCTTGGGAAAACCTGGGAAAGGGCGACTCATGGGCTTGGGAAAACCTGGGGAAGGGCGACTCGTGGGCTTGGGAAAACCTGGGGAAGGGCGACTTATGCGCGTGGGAAAACCTGGGGAAGGGCGACTTATGCGCGTGGGAAAACCTGGGGAAGGGCTACTCGTGGGCTTGGGAAAACCTGGGAAAGGGCGACTCGTGGGCTTGGGAAAGCCTGGATAAGGTTGAAGTGGTTATTGTCCCGGACAACGAGGAACCCAAATGAGAGTCACCTTGTACCGGGGCGATAACTGGCATTGCCCTCGGTGCTCTTGTTTCATTGTTAATTGCATCGTTTGATATCCCTGATGCAGTTTTACTGCGATGTAGAGCGTTGTGCGTACGGCAGCTCAACCTAAGGCCAACCAGAATGAGTGCTGCTGACTCGTTGGTCTGTTAGTCGCAGAGATTTGCCTTCCATCTTTTTCTATTGTTGTCTTGTTTATATGTCTTTAGCTTCCTTTAAGTAAGATACGTACGGATAACGACACATGGTAGATTTGGGAATTTCTAATAGTATCACTCTGTGTCGCTTAAGTGTTTGAAATAAAGGCACAGGTAAAAGGTTTAAGGCACAGGTTTAACCCTGTCGTAGCTCAGTCGATTAAGGCAGTGTCTGGGATGCTCCCGGACGCAGGTTCGAATCCTCGTCACTGCCCTTGTGGATTTGTTCATTTGATGCATCACGTTAGTGTGATCTCTGTGTGTAAGGCACAGGTAACATAGTGATGCACACGAATATATATGACAAAAAACTTAACTGGAAAGCACCGATGACATCAATTATGCCAACATCTTTTGTAGTCAGTCCTAAGAAAATGTCTTTGACAGTTTAAATTTATTATAAAGTTGCACTATAGGGGGGAAGCTTATCCTCAGTAGTTTTGCTTAAGCAAGCATCACGCAATATATATACCTTCTTTGTTATCGTGGACGAGAGAATTTTGAATACGTGTTATGAAATGGTCACACGTAAGCACAAAAGAATGTAGGTCCCAGGTTGGTGTTTGATTTACTGCATTGGGAACCATTCTTGATACGATGGAAGTAGTGCTTGAACCTTTGACTGAGTTATAATTGTTATTACAATAGAGAGAAAGATTAATAAGTTGACAAATAAGAGAAAGAATCAGTATATAAGTTTCAGGTCGATGCTAATCAGAGTAGCCTAAAGATAAAACTTTTAATTCAGTCCTTCACGATATTCACTGTGATGGATAGCCAAAATAAATAAAGATATGATAACACTAAGTGAAAACGTTGATAACAATGAATAAAAATGTCAAGATTTTCAAACATACTTTAATAGTGTCCTTAATATAGCGGATTATACACAGGACCTTCAGGGGCATCATTCATTTTAAGCTTAAGTTATTCAAATCTTAACTATTCCTCATTAGCACAATATCAATATTAAAGTTTAATGTTACAGGCCGGCAGTTTGATACCATCAAATATTATTGTGAAAATATAATTTCCAAGCGTTTTAGTAGTCACAAGACATTTGTAACTTCTAAGTGTTCGAATCTGAGGCGATTAAGTTGCAAACACCCACAAACTCCTGGAGAGTAACTGGAGTTGGTGCGTGCAAAGGGGAGAGTGCAGTGCATTAAGTGCTTGAGCACCGTGAAAAGGGGATGTTGCTTGCGGTTACAAATTGGGTTGCATATGTGAGTGTGCGGTGCTGTAGCCGCTAAATAGCTGACCCCCATGTCTTCACACCTCCCGCCTGCCTCTACACACCCCCTCTCCTGTCGTTAAGTTGTTTTAGATTCAGCTACCCAGAACAAGAAGTTCCAGTAGCACGGGCTATGGCGAGCCCGTAATTCTGCCGCTAACTAACACATGCTTTTAAGCCGGCAGTGTGCGTGACGCCGTGGTTCAGGTAACTGGATGGGTGACAGCCTCGCCCTTGGATAACAACGTCACACAAATGATGACTGAACCTAATCTAACTTAACCAAACCTAACCCAAGATCCACACATAGAAAACATTAATTTTTGCGAGCCGCTGCGGTTTATAATACATTGTATTTTGTCCATTGGGGATTTTGGCGTCAAAATACAACGACGCTTCTGATAATTATCGATTTGTTTTTCGTTATCGCGTTTATGTTTTTGTTAGAGATTATTAATCCTTGAATGCTGAACGTTATAATTTAATTTATATTATTTTTAGATTTGAATAGTCTTGGTATTTATACTCTGTATTTTTATCAGGTAAATCCTAATGATATAGGAATAATAATATTTTAATCAGGTAAAGCCTAATGATTTAGGATTAAATAATATTTTAAACAGGTAAAGCCTAATGATTTACGGATTAATAATATTTTAATCAGGTAAAGCCTAATGATTTAGGATTGAATAATATTTTAATCAGGTAAAGCCTAATGATTTAGGATTAAATAATATTTTAAACAGGTAAAGCCTAATGATTTGAAACAGCTTTTTAATAATCCATAAATTTAACTTTACTGATGGCTCCATATTGCCTCTTGGGATAAAGTCGAACTTTGACCTCGTATCACTCGAGACCAGGACTCAATTATCATCCAAGTTTAATCTTAAATTATTCTAAACTTCAACGCCTCATAACTTTGAACTTTGATAATCACCAGTAACCTATTCCGGGTTTATTTAAACACAAATAATAATACAATTATTGTTATTATTTGTTATTTAAATTTATTTAAGCTCTGAAGACTTATAAATTCTACATCTAACGATAAAGGAAATAATAAAGTAACAAGTTATATATTAACTTTCAATTACTGTAAAATTTTAAGTAACTGCAGTGCAATGAAATGACCATCTCAGTATTAAAATATAATATCTTGAATTGCATATAGAACAGTCTAAAGATATAACATTAACAGCATTAGGCTGTCGTTAAGAATTACTCGATTGTGACGTAAATGGTGCTGGAACTAAACCTCTTATAGCTTTTAAGTTGAATGGTCTGAATGTAGTAATTTGTTAAAACACCTCAAGAGCTTTAGTTACCCCCAGGGGGGGTACTGGGGTCCGAAAAGACGAGAGTCGAGATCCGCAAACCATAGCATTTAGGCACAATTAGGTGCGGGCGTTATCGGGCCTTATTATGGACCTTCTCTTAAATAAATAATGTAATTGTGTGTTGATTAACTCATGTATATATTTACGATCATTTATGCATAAAGTTTTGGCATTTAAATTCAAATTTATGAATTGAGTGAGCTTCGAGCCCTAACACAGGATAGTGACTGACACTTATTATATTGACCTTACCACTAACCCCGGACCTTATTAAACCCGTCTGACCTGTGGGTATCGGTTCATGGTATTGAATGTGGATATTGCGTTGTGGCTCGGGTAGGGCTGGTATCCACGCGTGGCTGTCGGGTACATGTTCCTCATCATGGCGCCGTTGCAGGTGGGTAGAACTGACGGTGTCCCCGCCAGGGCCTTCTGCAGCTGCTTCTCCTGCTTGCGGTACTTGGCTCGTCGGTTCTGGAACCACACCTGCAAGTGTCGTGAGGGAGATTAGCGGAGGAGGTGGTGAAGTGCGGGAAGTGTTATTGAAGCCTAAGCCAGCAAGTGGATCTATGTTGACCAAATCACACACTAGAAAGTTTTATTATTATTATTATTTTCTACCACAGTCGTGGCCACACATTTACAATGCTAACCAGCATATATACATTTTCTTCTGTCCTCCATGGACAGGGTGAGAGATCTGCTAAACACTAGAAAATGAAGGGACGACGACGTTTCGGTCCGTCCCGGACCATTCTCAAGTCGATTGTGTGCCTCGTTAGAGTGTGTTCATCCCCACAATAGACTTGAGAATGGTCCAGGACGGACCGAAACGTCGTCGTCCCTTCACTTTCTAGTGTGTGGTTTGGTCAACATATTTCAACCACGTTATTGTGACTCCACGTCTACGAGTGGATCTATGTTGAGAGTTCACGATCTATGTTCAGAGCACATTCACTCCAAACATCTACCACTTAAGGGCTTCTCATGCCCGTCCCACCTCTTGTGTGGCTTAATTTTCATCACTCAATCAATCTCTATTGAGAGGCGTTTGGTTTGGAATTGAACTTCAGGCCTATCAACCTCCGGAGGGCCTTTAATACCACCACAATTGTTTACTGATCAACCTGCAAGTCTTGAACTAAAGTAACTCAGATCAATAACTAGCAGAGAGAAAGAGAGAGCATTAACATATGTGACTCATTACTAAACAAAAAATCACACATCCTTAAAGTAAAGAAAACATGTCAAAATGTATGTAAAATTAAAACTAAAATAGATAATGATTAGAAATAAGATTGTGTGGCCACATACTAGAGAGATATATAAAGAAATGCAGCAACACAGGGACAGGGCGGGACATGACGTCTAGAGACACGGGTGAGATTTAGAGAAGGATAATATATAGATAGAAAGAGAGAGAGAGAGAGAGAGAGAGAGAGGGAGAGGGAGAGGGAGAGAGAAAGAAGCATGGAGAAGAGGACGAGAGGGGAGCTGGTCGTTTGATCCCGTTACCTGGTCCCGAGGGTCAGTGACGAGGGGAGGATGGGTAATGGGGGACTAATGGACTCCCCTCTGCTGCCCCTCTCTCTCTCTCTCTCTCTCTCTCTCTCTCTCTCTCTCTCTCTCTCTCTCTCTCTCTCTCTCTCTCTCTCTCTCTCTCTCTCTCTCTCTCTCTCTCTCTCTCTCTCTGTTTCTTCAATTCTGTTTCTTCAATTATTTCCTCCTTTTTATTCATCATTTTGTTATCAGTCTTTTTTTCTCCTCTCTTTCTCTTCATCTTTATTCTTCTCTCCTTACTCTGGTCTCAAATGACCAGCTGGGCCGCGCTGTCTGGGGTCTCCTCTGCCTGTCTCTCAACTTACTGAACCAACTGATTTAGCAGGGAAGGACACGTTGCTTTCCTTGCTGTTGCGGGGGTATTCTGCGTCTAGATCACTGAGAAAGATGTAAGGCGACTGGACTTGTGCATTGTCTTGTCCCACACGCTATGGTGCACTACACACACACACACACACACACACACACACACACACACACACACACACACACACACACACACACACGGTTCATTCTTCAAGATACTTTAGAAATTCTTCATTCTTCACGAATCTCTACACCGGTTGATTGACAGTTGAGAAGCGGGACCAGAAAGCCGAAGCTCAACCCCTCCCCCTCCCCCCCCACAAACACAACTAGGTGCGTACACGCATTGTAGATGAATTTCGAGTCTTTAACACATTTAAGCCCAAGCGTTTAAGCCCGCACGTTACATCATGCATCACGCCCTTCCCCAACCCACCCGGAGCACCACGGGAACAAGTGCACAACAATCATCAGCTGGTGAGGCAAGGGTGAGCAGACCATGTGGTAACCCCATTCCACATGTCACCCGACACCTGCGTTGATCCCGTTTTCTGTGGCCACATAGCAACATATGCGACCATCATAGCATCATCCCCCCCCCTCCCCCCCCACATCAGGAGCCGCCAGGGTGGGTACACAATGAGAATAACAATTCCCAAATCATCTCTCATCGTTACAATACACACCCCTCCACTATTACCAATCACTGCATTTGTAATTACCCCCATTAGTAATGCTGCCACATACCAACCACACAGCTACTACCACAGCGACAACACCAGCACCACCACCATTAACAAGACAACTACCATCAATGCCAATTACACCACTCTAATAACATTAACTAGGCCAACACTAACACTAACTACACTTCCACCAACAACACGAACATCAACAACATCAACAAACACAACTAACAACACAACCACCATCAACAAACACCACTAACAACACAACCACCATCAACAAACACCACTAACAACACAACCACCATCAACAAACACCAACATAACAACACAACCACCATCAACAAACACCAACATAACAACACAACCACCATCAACAAACACCAACATAACAACACAACCACCATCAACAAACATCAACATAACAACACAACCACCATCAACAAACACCAACATAACAACACAACCACCATCAACAAACACCAACATAACAACATAACCACCATCAACAAACACCAACATAACAACACAACCACCATCAACAAACACCAACATAACAACATAACCACCATCAACAAACACCAACATAACAACATAACCACCATCAACAAACACCAACATAACAACACAACCACCATCAACAAACACCAACATAACAACACAACCACCATCAACAAACATCAACATAACAACACAACCACCATCAACAAACACCACTAACAACACAACCACCATCAACAAACACCAACATAACAACACAACCACCATCAACAAACACCAACATAACAACATAACCACCATCAACAAACACCAACATAACAACACAACCACCATCAACAAACACCAACATAACAACATAACCACCATCAACAAACACCAACATAACAACACAACCACCATCAACAAACACCAACATAACAACATAACCACCATCAACAAACACCAACATAACAACACAACCACCATCAACAAACATCAACATAACAACACAACCACCATCAACAAACACCAACATAACAACACAACCACCATCAACAAACACCAACATAACAACACAACCACCATCAACAAACACCAACATAACAACACAACCACCATCAACAAACACCAACATAACAACACAACCACCATCAACAAACACCACTAACAACACAACCACCATCAACAAACACCAACATAACAACACAACCACCATCAACAAACACCAACATAACAACACAACCACCATCAACAAACACCAACATAACAACACAACCACCATCAACAAACACCAACATAACAACACAACCACCATCAACAAACACCAACATAACAACACAACCACCATCAACATAACAACAGCGAGCCACATTTACATAAACACGGCCGTATATTCATATATAAATACATATATTCACCAGTTGTCAAATAGAGCGTTAAATGTAATGTATAATAATAAAACAGCTATGATTTCAAAATATGGACGGCATAAAACCCGGGAAATATATGGCAGAATATCATAATATCTGTCATATGTAGTTGCTGTATGTGTCCAAACTACATATTTACATTTATTAATTCTCAAATAGCTAGTTGAATGTTGTTAACAATTAATTAGTTTGGTTAATAATATATATATATATATATATATATATATATATATATATATATATATATATATATATATATATATATATATATATATATATATATATATATATGACAATGTCAGACCACGGAGGAAAAATGAAACAGGAAATTTCCTTAAGTACTTTCGTATATTAAATACATCTTCAGAAGACCTTCTGAAGATGTATTTAATATACGAAAGTACTTAAGGAAATTTCCTGTTTCATTTTTCCTCCGTGGTCTGACATTGTCACATTCTTAATCACGTGTTTATTTTCGTGATATACACACATATATATATATATATATATATATATATATATATATATATATATATATATATATATATATATATATATATATATATATATATATATATATATATATATATATATATATATATATATAGTATTGAAGTTATGCAGTGAGATCGAACTCGCGTCCCTGGATACCCCTTAGGGACACGCACACTACCAATATAATTTAATCAGTGTAGCAAGTTTTGGTTCAGTTTTAATTCGTGGGAAAGATTTATTCAGTGTTGTGAGGCTAGTGACTCAGGCGCCTCTCTCGATGCTACAACAATGGCGGGTTGTATATATGTGTTTATAACGATTGAAAAGTTACAGGTAGGTAGATGGACATGGTTGTAGCATTGGTTTTGTTGTTGTGGATATCTGTTGGTAGGCAGGTAGGTGGATATGGTAGTATGGTTGAGTGTGGTGACCTGGTTGATGGGGTTCTGGGAGTTTTTCTACTCTTCAAGCCCGGCCCGAGGCCAGGCTTGACTTGTAAGAGTTTGGTCCACTAGGCTGATGCTTGGAGCGGCCCGCAAGCCCACATACATTGACTTAGCGGGTAGTCAGTTCTGGCAGACAGATTGTGCCTGAAGATTTGGACCGGTTCCATTAGTTTGAATGTAATTGTAAATTTTGTTGGTGCTACATACGTGTACATGGTTATATTCACCGAAAGGTGTACCTCAATTTTCGGTGTATTTACACTGAGAGTATAGTGCTGGTTGTCAGTAAACCATTGTGTAAACTTTAATAATCCCTAGAAGTTCAATAAGGCTTTTAATAGTTTGTCAATAGGTCAATAAGTAGTTACCCAAGCACCAACTATACTACAACAATGGACATGACACACCATGGGCAAGTTAATGGACACGCCACGGGCGAGTTAATGCTCTTCAGCTCAGATACACTTGTGACCAAACTCCCTGATTGCATTTTTGACTCGTTAGACATCATTGGTTGAAAGTAATAGTCCCTAGACGCACACAGTGTTTCTAGTTACGTCCAGACACTCATTGTAGTGGGACCT